GTTAAAAAAATATATAAGTCTTGCACAATATGTTATTTGCGTATCCTTTACAGGACGTTGCAGAACCAGCTTTAGCATTATTTGACTTTTATGGTTTCTCTAGGCAAATTTTACGTTCAATAGTTTGCCATTGCCCCTGAACTATCAGCTATCGGTGCCATTGTCGAAACCAACGCAAGACAAATCATGACCGGCTCCAGCTGACGGGCCGTGCTGCTGACGTCACCGCGTCAGGCTAACGATGCATTAACGCAGCGGTTCTCAAACAAGATATAAACTATTTTCGACAGTGGCAAGGAAAGACAACTTAAATTTTATCTTTAAGTATCTACACGCCTTCTTCATTATTTCACATTTTTAGCCGACTTTTCTTTATTACGCGGCAGCCCTGGCATACGCCCAGGACACCCCAGGCTGCCTCAGCACCCAGTTTGAGAAATGCTGCGTTAACGCATCGTTAGCCCGACCCGGTGACGTCAGCAGCACGGCCCGTCAGCTGGAGCCGGTCGTGTCCCAGTGTAATGCTTTACAATCATCATCGAGTGCCTTGCCGACTGGAGCGGGCGATCATGCCTACCAACAGCTCAATCAATCAATCAGGTGCCGTCTCCACAATGAAGGTTGGCTGCAATGGATCTCCAACAAGCCCTGTCTCTTGCCCTTGATACTGCTGTTCGTCCATCTCTTGATGTTATCCTCCCACTTGTAACGCTGTCTGCCTCTTGCTCGCCTACCTTGAACCTTTCCCTCTAAGATGATCTTTACAATACTGTTATGTCTTTTAATGTGACCAAAATATTTCACTTGTCTCTTTTTTTATTTTACATAGCAACTCTCTTTTCATTCCCAATTTCCTCAGTACCTCTGTATTTGATAGCTGTTGTTTCCATGAAATACGACCTAATCGTCTGTATATCCACATCTCCAAAGAATTGATACGATTTTCCAGTTGTTTGTTCATTGTCCATGTCTCTGTGCCATACAGTAAGGTTGAGAATACATAACATTTGACAATTCTCATTTTTAGTGTATTGCTTATTTCTCTTGATGTCAGTAACTTTTGCATGTTGTTGAAAATGTTTTTGGTCATCCCTATTCTTTTCTTGACTTCTGTTTTATTTCTGCTGTCACAACAGCTAGCGATCTCTAAAGCATGTGCTGACACCCTTTCCTTTAGTCTCAAGACATCTTCCTCCATCTCTCTTTCCACAAACCTCTCCAGTTATCACACGCTATAAAATGTTATATTATGTAACAATTATAAACTATACATAGTTCTAGTTCTCCCTCTTCATAACACAAAGTCTTGGAAGTGTTATAGAGGGAGCCTATCTTTTGCCCGTGCATCATAATTCCTCTCTCAGCCAGCGTTGTTAACTCCAAAGAAAACGTAACACTAATAGGTTTGCAACAAAACGTGCCTCAAAAGCTGACGCATTACAAGAGCTTCTCTGCAGCCACGGCCGACTGGTTGAGGCTCGTCTGTAGCCAACCAAGGCTAAGGTCCTGAACTATCGCTGTCATAATATTCAATTTTCAGGTTGCATTTCCTAACTGTCATCGTCATCATCAAGTGCCTTGTCGACTGATTATACCTCTCCTCAACCTGCGATCTCCAACAGCTATTGTGATGACACACTACCATGCCTTGACACACCACCATGCCTTGACACACTACCATGCCTTGACATACTACCATGCCTTGACACACTACTATGCCTTGACACACTACCATGTTTTGACACCCTACTATGCCTTGACACACCACCATGTCTTGACACGCTCTCCATGCCTTGACACACCACCATGCCTTGACACACCACCATGCCTTGAAACGCAACCACATCTTGACACGCCACCATGCCTTGAAACGCAACCACATCTTGACACACCACCATGCCTTGACACACCACCATGCCTTGAAACGCAACCACATCCTGACACACCACCATGCCTTGAAACGCAACCACATCTTGACACGCCACCATGCCTTGACACACCACCATGCCTTGACACACCACCATGCCTTGACACACCACCATGCATTGACACACCACTATGCCTTGACACGCCACCATGTCTTGACACGTTCTCCATGCCTTGACACACCACCGTGCGTGACACACCACCATGCCGTGACACACTACCATGCCGTGACACACTACCATGCTTTGACAGACACACTACAATGCCGTGACACACTACCATGCTGTGACACACCACCATGCCTTGACAAACTACTATGCCTTGACACACTACCATGCCCTGACACATCGCCTTGCTTTGACATACTACCATGCCTTGACACACCAACTTGCCTTCAAAAGTTTTAAAAAATTGTCTACCTATATCTTCTTCCGTTTCTTCTTCTTCTTCTTCTTCTTCTTCTTCTTCTTCTTCTTCTTCTTCTTCTTCTTCTTCTTCTTCTTCTTCTTCTTCTTCTTCTTCTCTTCTTCTTCTTCTTCTTCTTCTTCTTCTTCTTCTTCTTCTTCTTCTTCTTCTTCTTCTTTTTCTTCTTTTTCTTCTTCTTCTTCGTCTTCTTCTCCTTTCGTTCGCTCGAAAGAAATTATCTATATCTGCAGTGACGTCTCTAGTGTGAACTTTACTGTCTTTTGTAATTCACTCAGCGACCCCTTAAAGTTTAAATTGCGGCAATGTTCCTTGGGTCAAAGTTATACCTTGATATGTTGTATTTGGGACAGTCTTGGAGTTCATGATCTGTTGTCTCAGGTGCCAGTCAACTTGTGCACATGTCTGATTCGACGATGTAAAATTTTGTGTACATGTGGCTGCGAAGTCGATTGTGTCCTGTTCTAAGGCATAGAATAATAGCTTGCTCTGGTCTGTCCATAAAATGGTAATGGATTTGTGCTGGTTTTGGTGCCTTTCTAACAGATTTAATTACTACCTTTTCTTTTTTCTAATAAGAGACTGGTACATCCAGTTGTTCTTCATTTGCGCCTTCCTTAGCCAGTTTATCAGCTCTGTCATTTCCTCTACCTATATCGCTCTTTCCACTTATCTAGGCAGCACCCTTTCACAGAGCGCCACAATTTATGACTAAGTAAACGCAAGGATCTCTAGAGCTAGCGTTGCCTTTGGCAGATTGTACAAAAATGTTTGGAAGAGAAGTGGCTTAACCCTGCAGACAAAGCTTAAAGTATACAGAGCAGTTATATTAACTACACTGCTGTACGCATGTGAAACATCGACTGTTTACCAGCGCCAGGCTGGAAAGTTAAACCACTTTCACACAGTCTGCTTTAGAAAACTAATGCATATCAGATGGCAAGATAAAGTTCCTGATACCGTAGTCCTTGAGAAAGCAGCCATGCCCAGCATCCACACTCTACTGATGCAGTATCAAATTCGTTGGGCTGGTCATGTGGCACGCATGCCATATCACAGGCTCCTAAAAAAAACTCTTCTATGGTGAGCTGCAAAATGGGAAACGTTCCCAAGGCGGGCAAAAGAAACGCTTTAAGGACACCTTGAAGTCTTCACTCAAAGCATTTGGGATGAATGACACCAATTGGGAGGCTGCCTCTCAAGACTGAAATGCATGGCGTGCAACTCTACACAAGGGCGCGGCTACATGTGAAGCAAACAGAACAGCAAGACTTATTAAGAAAAGGATGGACAAAAAGGCGACTGCAGGAGATCCCCTCCCTGGCACAACAATCATTCCCTGTCCTCACTGTCCAAGAACATTTCGGGCCCGCATCGGCCTCATCGGTTATCTTCGTACTCATACTTGATGAAAAAGAGTGGTCATCATCATCTTGATGGACAACACACATCTCTCTTTCCACAAATCTGTCTCTTGGTCACATGTTCCCCTTTTCTCCTTCTTATAACAGTATATTCCAGAGAACCATTGAAGACATGAAGCGAAGGTTAAACAAATTCGAAAATAAATGCCTGGGGGAGGGGGGATTATGAACATAATATAGGATGAATTCAAGAGGCGTGAAGAAGTAAAAGACACTTCTGGACAACCATTAGTATATCGATATGTCGTTACATTAGTCATATTCTGATAAAGGATTAACAGAGAGTTTAAAAAAAGGCACCGTCCATTCATCACTTTATGAAATAAAAAAAAAATTAACTACGTTTAACCTACTAGTAGCAGTTTCGGCTATAATTGTGGTCGTTTCTTTGTGCCAGGTATGTTGCCTAAGAAGTGTTAATAGCACCAAAACGTGTAGCTTGGAACGGTACTATAGTACATGGTGAGGGTTGTTTGGGGGGAAAGGGGGAGGGGGTTGGATGTGAAACAGAAGGATTGAGGACAAGAGGACGTTCAAGCGAAACCATAAGGCGAACGTTGATAAAAGAAACCAAATGTGCTGGACTGGTTTTCTTCCATGATATCAAAGTGATTGCACAGGATAGGACGGAATGGAGAAATAGACTGTGAGCCTCATTTGACATATAATGGCGCAAAAGGACAAGGAATGAATAATACATGTATAAGACATGTGTCTAAGAGTTCTTAGAAAAGGAAGGAGGGGGGGGGGGGTGAGCTGTGTGGTCTCGAGGCATGGTGTCCGCCTCGAGTGCTAGAGGCTCCGAGTTCAATCCTGGGATTCTAGAAATTCCCCACGGTCTCTGGGTAGTAAGATCAGACGCCCGTTGCGCACGTAAAAAAAATTCCCTTGGCAGCTGGAAATCGAAAAGAGTAGCCTAACAGCGCTGCTCGGGTACAATTTGGAATTTAAAATCTACCCAAAATATTTCAGGATTCTCGCTGGTGCTACAGAGACTGTGTACTGTGCTGAGCTTCTTCGGACTCAGACTTCGGTTAGAAGAAGAGCGGAGCACTTATGGGTTACACCCGTGTGCCATGATGTTGATCCGTTGTTGAAAACTTCAAAACTTCTCAGAAAAGGGAGGCCATCCAGAAATGGAACAACTTCCGTTATCGTTCCGGTCAGACCAAGTAACGCAAGCTACCGGAGTAAACGCGACCATCCAGGCCAACACGCGGTCTCAAAATGGCGGCAGGCAGGCTGGAGACGGACGCTCGTAAGAGCCGAGACAGTGAATCCCACGTTGATGAAGATGCAAACGAAAATGAGGAGGAAATGCCAAATTTTAGCGACCCTGAAGACTTTGTTGATGATGTTACGGATGAAGGTAATATTGTTTAACGTTATTTTTTTCATAGTTGACTTGTGTTCGGACGGGTTTAATTTCCCCATACCATAAAAACAGTATTTGGGAACTGCGAAAATTGTGATTCTGATTCAGCACTACATGAATATTACGTTGTTTATAAAAAACATTAATGCCGCTACTTAACGAATAGTTTTTGTTTTAGAAAGATGTGCTACTGTTTTTCATTTGTTGCATATAGAATAGATAATAAATAGAGCGTCGTTAGCCAACCAGCCAGTCTTTTCCATTCAGAAAGTGAACCGGCATTTTCGATTTCCACCCATCCCTATCCTTATTTGTCAACTCAACAAAGAAAAAGGACCGACAGTGTTCTAACAAAGTCCCGCTAGCTGATGTAAAAATATATATTTTTACAGTAAATTCGATGTAATTTAATAATGAATTTATTAAATGGTCATCATCCTGTCCTTTACTTTACATCTGTTATGTTCTAATAGAGCATAGTGTTGTCATTGCAACTTCTCGTGGGAAGTCGGTAGCTTAAAGTGGCTGCCGCATCTAGGAACTAATATTAATAATCATTCATGGGAATGCCCATTGTGTAGTGACATAAATTGTGATAACATAACCTAGGCTATTTCAATGTCTCAGTCACACGTCACTACTACTCATACTCAAGTCCTCACACAGCAGGTCAGATAATACGATAAATATCACTCTTATCACATTCACACCTTGCCTCACTATCTTTTCCAAAAGTTGAACCCCCATTTTTAAGAAAAAATTGCAGAAACAGATTTCGGCTATCCTCCGAATAACCCTAAATTATCGGCTCAGAAAATATACCCTTACAGGGCCTCAGTCACGTGTCAATTGTGCAGTTTCGTTGTCTTGAAATGCGAGCTCCCGACGACTTCTGCCGAATTGCGAACTTTCGGCAACCTCCGCTCACGCGGTGTGGATTGGGGCCAAACTAGATGGCTGGGACTCACGAGCAGCAGGTACGTCATCTCCTGCAGCTTCCTTCATTTTTTTTTTTTGCTTTTGGGGGTCACTCTTGGCGGTGGCGTAATAGTCCCCGGAAGTGCGCAATTAACACGTGACTGAAGCCCTGTTAGGGTATAATTTTGGACCGTTATTCAGAGGATAGCCCAGATTTAAAAACGAACATAGTATATAATGGTAAAACCATGAAAAGTACATTTCCCTAACCACATGAACAACAGTTTTTCGCTTACAATGCACTGTACACTGCGCGCAGACTTAACAAACATATAAATTAGATATGAGCTCTCTGTTAGTGTCTTCACGCTGAACAGACTTCCAGAACATGTCTTGTAAGACTGTTTGGCGACAGTGCAAAGCCACATGTGACCACATTTAGTAAACCTGACATATAGACCTTGGGATGACATCCTTATCATTTATGGCCCACACTGGATTTAGCGCATGACCAGAGATTGTGGTTGTTGGCAACCGCGAGAGAGCTGTTACTGCCAAAGTTTGGCCTAAATATTAACATAATTTTCCGTCCATGTTATTTACTCACTTTTTTGTATTTCTTCGTATTTTGTTATTGACCACGTTGGTATAGCTTTCATTTACCATGTGAAAACATGCTTTGTATTTCTAAAATACCCTGTCTGTCTGGTGCGAATTGGCAGTAGACTGCTTTGCTCTGATTGTGACATTAGTATAGAACGTTTGCTGTTCAAAATGGCAGGGGCATAAATGACTGAAAATAAAACTGCCTAGTAAAAGGAGAACCAGAAAATGCTGTGGTTGGTTTTGCAACATTCTACAAAAGTTATGCAGCTAACTCTTCATGTTGGTACCCCTGATACTCAGATACTGACTTTCCTTAGTGAGATCACGGCGGTGATTGATTGCAGGTTTTTTAAATTGACTCGTGGTCTCCATATCAAAGAGATTGTGCTGTTTGCCTAGTGTGGTTGTCACATATCACTCCTGTCACGTGCCTGATTTAAGGATTTCTCCTTAAGAACCAACAGCACTCAGAAATAATTATGTTGAGTCGTTTGGCTCCTATTGGTCTAAGGGATGCCCCGTGGCCAATATACGCTCAACTTATTTCTGGAGTAGGGCAACTCAAGTTTTGGAACTACAAAATATATATGTATATGAATACAATATTCCTAGGCACACTTGGCTGGACAACCCCACTACTATAAAAAGAAATCCCCCAGGTTATGGTAGTTTACTATCATAACCATGTTAACACATATAATACTTATTATTCATACACACATCAAAGATAAAACACTTAGCAAGGTGAAATAGAGACACCTAAGTCAGTCATGAACATTAATGCATGTAATCAATTCAACTTCTTTACATCAATAAAAGAATAATGTTTAGAATGTTTGTAGGATCAGAACTCAGAGCAACGACTCAGATATTGAAACAGCCAGAAGGTCTTGACTATATCGCAGTGTCATCACTGGAATACATCAAAGCTGTGGGGAATAGAGCATGATATAGAAACACAACTGGCACTTATCAGAGTTCTATTGATGATGCTTCCCTTAGCTCCTGGTGATTCGACTGTAGTTGACTCTGGTAGTTCTGCTTCAAGTGGATCTGGTCATAGAGGAGTACCTCACCATTGAGGACACAGGAACTGTATAGGGACTCAGCAAGTCTCTCCCACAGGTCAGGTCACAACTCTGTCTCGGAGCTCAACCAAGCTCCTGAAGACTGGTACACTCGAGTATGGATATACTCTCTGCAAATGTTCACTTGCCCTGGAGCTCACTCACACGCTCTGGCCATGTTAAGGTGTTGGTGTATATGGCCCACCATGATGATGTCAGGTACATTCACTGGTGTTAGCTGGTGGATAGTTAGTTGGTGGATGTTGGTAGGACTGTGATTAATCTGCCTGCTCTTTACAGAGGTTTTATCCTGTCAGGAAAGAACTCAGAATTAGTAATCACCAAGAGGGTATCATTTTGACAGGAAAGACTCAGAATAAGCAATCAGTTTCCATCCCACATCAGCCTACTCTACCTCTGCTCCTCTGTTTCATTCCTCAGAGTGTACTCTCAAGACCAGGAGACAATGTCTCCTATCATTTATCTGTCTGTTTAGTTCAAGAAATGGAAAAGTCAGATATATATAGTGGAGATAGATAGACACTATTACACGTATATCAATCTCTCTCCCCCCCTCCCATCTGCACACAGACACCAATGTTTACAGTCAGTACCCATATCTCCTCCGACTCTCAGCCATTCATTACACATTCATTGATCTGTGTCAAACACAGTCAAAGCAACGCGCTGGCTGCCAAGTACTTGACCTACATTTTCCGTCCCCATTAGTATTGCGCAAACTTCTGTTGTTAGTTTAAATGGTAAACACCTGTAGGTTCAATATCTTTACCACTGGTGTGAGTTATTTAGGGCACAAACTATTTAGTCTGTACAGAAGAAGGTTCGGATCCGGTTCTCTGGAGATCAAGAACGGTCGAACTATGTGCGATCCCATAGCCGATGCCGGTATATCTACAGCAGTGACCCTTTTAACAAGACATCATTTAAGGTACTCATAAACTATAATTAACTTACCCAAGCAAAGGAAATGTCCTAGACACTACAGGCCGCCTTCTCAAGTTATAATTTATGAGGCGTTGATAAATACATCTAGTCTCTAGGAATGCAGGCAGAAGAATGCCCGCTCTAACTCAAGCTTGGCGTCAGTAACAAGAAGTTCCCTGTATACATGAGCAAGAAGTAAACCGGTTTCCAGGAATATTCAAATAAAATCCTAGAAATAATCAACCTACAGTTGCAAGTTTGAAAATGGCGATAAGTCAAAGCAACTAGAAGGTTTATAAATTATTATTTTGCCCGATAAAGGTATAGATCAATATAAGGGACTGTATACCTTTCCGGACGGGTCCAAGTTTGACATTTTTTTTGTCGAGGGGGGGGGGGGGGTAACCAGGTCCCGACTCGACGATTATGTGTAGTGGCGGGTCATTCCTTGACAGTGGTTGTTGAAGAATGTCTTATTCCTGTCACCACCGGCTATAAACTCTGAAAGTTCTTTTTAATCGTCCACTTCTGAACAGAAATTCAGAACCTTGCTTACCTGTATGCAAACTGTTGATTCCTCACTCTCAAGCAGATGCACTGACTTTAAAGTAAAAAGTTAGGTAAAGGACCCTTCTCCTTGCCTTTCAGGCGTATTGGGTATATAAGGCTAGACCTAAATTTTATGGACTAAACGGCACTTGGTGGGTGATGTGGTCAGCGTTCAGGCCGGCTGCCTTTACTTCCTAGAACTGCACCTGGTACTCACTCAAAGCTGCATTGGTTTCGACTGTGAGACCAAGAGCTGACCATTTAAAAAAGCAGTTCCAAACTACTGAGCATAAAATTTGACTAAGAAAACCACAACTGCCAAAAAAAATGCTGGTGTCTGTTCTACAGTGTCCTGTAAAGGATACGCAACTAACTTTTTTTTTTCTTTTCATGTTAGTTCTGCTTTTTTGTTTTGACAAGGGACAGATATGTATTAATCCCCCCCCCCCCCCCCCCCCCCCCCCCCCCCGCCCCCACAAACTGATGCACTGGAACCTATAGAGCGAGAGGGTACCAGGTTCATGTCTGATGTGCACACTGTGGAGACTCTTCCAGTCTTCATTGTATGCATTTGGTAGTTAAGCCTGCTGTATCCTGTTCCTACGGAAAATTATTATTTGTTTTCTATTGTTACTCCAATCAAATATAATCATTGTTTTCTCAGAATTGCTGGGTGATCTTTTGCGCAAGAAACCAAAGCCATCGGACAGCGTTGACTCTGTGATCATTGTGGACTGCATTCCCCAAGTAGGGAAAGATCGTTTGGAAAAACTGAAGAATGTTATCAAAAAGCTGTTCTCCAAATTTGGTAATGTGGTGAACACCTTTTATCCTCTTGATGAAGAAGGAAACACCAAAGGGTGAGTTAGCATGATGTGTTCAATGTTTCCCAAGTTTTTATGTTTTACTTATGAACTGTCTAGGTAGCTAAAGGTCAGGTCCACTCAGTTATTTTCTTGGAGTAAATCATGTGAATAAATCCGGAAATATTTGTCTCTTACTTGTCTTTCATCTCCCAATGGAGAACTGGTTTGGTCAGTAAACAAACTCACATTTCCGCCTACAATTGGTTGGGGATTTCAAAATATTCTGTGAAATACAGTAGTCTTACATGAACTCTCCTTAGTTGCCTCTTGTGACATGTATCATTTGCAGGTTTAAGTGTTTTTCTTTCTTTATAGACCATGATAGCATATGTCAACAGTAAATATGTTTATAAATAATTTGGTTTTTATAATGATAAAATTGTAGAAATTTGCTTTTAATTAATTGCCATCCACAGCATGATTTGCTTTAGTATTTTCGTCGCTCGTAAAATTAAGACCTCTGACACAAATTCTAAAGGGCTGAAAATAGAGATTATGCTTACTGGGGACTAATTACAATAATACACATGCTAGGACCAACAAATATGTAATCTTAGCTGGCTCTTATTCTTAAGTGAACGAAATCTTGATTGAAACGCATTCAGAATGAAGCTATGCGACAAGTCGGATGCACAAGGAACACACTAGTTGTGTGTATGAGACATCCTGGCTATGCTGACCATTGCTAATGGGTATTGTATACTGCAAGCTGGGCACAATCTTGGCATGGCAAGTAATTCATGGGAAACTGGATAGTGTGAGGGATGACTTACTTTTGATGAGCAGATCCTGGATGGCCTAGGCTAAAAATACAATCAGTAGTGTCTGAGAAGCTAGAAGAGATTAGCTGAAAAGAATGAGTAAAGATACTAGAGGGAAAAGAAGAGCTGCATAAAGTGACAATTACCTTGGGAAGGAATGCGCAGCAGGATGTGCATTTGTTGATTTACAACAGTTTGTAAAGGAGGCCAGAGGTATTAGTAGTTGTCAGAACTTCATTTCGAAAGCACAAGAAAGAAGGATGACTGAGGAAAGCCTGGCATACAACATTGCTGCTTCCACCATGAAAATGGTGGTTGAGGCAGTAACTACCGCATTTTTCAAATAGAACAGGTTGCATCAATCCACAGGTTGTAGCCAGTGATAGTCACGCTGATATTTTCCCCGAACTGTTCATTTCCATTTTTGAAATGAGCAGGCAAATAGGTTGGCTGGACTAGGGCAAAGGTGATCTCGCACACGTGGGTGAGACCATTATCATGTTACAGATTCTTTGCAAAACGTCTCTCTCATCAAACTGGGTCTCTTGCCTGCTCTCCTGCCTCATATACTTTCATACTTAAGGAGTCACTTATATCCCGTGCCTATTTTCGTGTTGGTCGGCCTCTGTCCCACCCTCCCTGGTTCCCTGCCTTCTGCTATTTTTTTCAGTCTGTCATGACAAAAATATTTCAGCTTCCGGGACAGGATGCTGTTTATTAGCCAATATTCCCTGTTCATATCTTTCAAGATGCCACTATTTTCCTCTTCTTTGTCCTAGATATTCTGAGTCTTTCTATAGCAAGGTGGGCGATGTAACGAGTAAAAATAGAAGGTACAGAAAACCTGTACCTGGAGAGAATGTCTTAATGTCTTTCTAGCCTTGGCGTTCATTATGTCATTTATGATTGTTCTGATTAGGAAGATGGGTTGATTTACTTTTTATTTTGGTCATTAACAGAATGTTACTTTAAAAAAAAAAAATCAGCTCATTTCACTGGTTATTTGTCTACAGGTATATGTTCTTGGAGTTTTCATCTCCTCAGAATGCTCATGAGGCTGTCAAGATGACCAATGGCTACAAGCTAGACAAACAGCATGTCTTCAAAGTCAACCACTTTTCAGATTTTGAGAAGTAAGACATAGAGTACAAAAAACAAACCTGTATGAATAAATTTAATGTAAACACATTTAAGATGTATTACTGCATTACTTGGAAATTGATAAATAGGTAACTTCTGGAAAATGTAAAAAAAAAACAAGGTGAACGTAATTTTCAAAACAACTCTTATGACTTTGTAACTTCTAAACTTCTAAGACACACAGAAAAAGTATTAGAGGATACAATACTTGGAACAAGAGGAACGAATAGTCTGGTGATAGTCATTAGACATAATTCTTCTTTTATTTCCCATTGAAAGGACTGTTGGCATGTTGTGTTGGAGTTTACAGCTAGGCTTCGATATCTGTGTCTTTTTGGTACAGCACATCAGATTTCAGTAATTCCGAATTAGTATCCTTTCTGGCATGCTTGTTATTGGGCTCTCCTTCCTTCCTCTTCCCCTTATCTTCTCGTGTGACAGTGGAGTCCGCACAGGCAAAGAAGAAATTTGGTTGACGCAGACAACAAAGTTGGAACTTAGAACAACGCAGCCATTGAATAGAATGATCTGAAGATTCGAAACCAGCCCAGGGGCTGAAATATTTAATGACGGCATATTAACATATGCTATGCCTTAAAACCGAGATGGTCATGGGCTGCTATGTTACACTGTCACGAAAATCAGATTAACATGCTTTAGAACATCCACATACATGACTCTGCAAATCCTCAATTCCAGACCTTGAATTATAAAGCACACTTTTTTAAGTGGTCATTTGGCAACAAGTCTCTCATTCTAGCTAATTCTAAGCAAGGCTTAATTTGAGGATAAGGCTTTATGTTAAAAGCCTCTTTAATATCATGCTAGTTCTTATTTTGGGGGTACGTCTTAATTCTAGTAAAAAAAAAAAAGGATTTTCTGAGATGATAGCATTGATAAATCTACGCCCATTAATGATCACCAGTCACTAGCTCCCAAATGTTGTATTGGAGTTCAAACCATACTTGCTACTTCTAATATAGCTGCTTTGTTTTAGAAATCCAGCATTTATTATAAATCTTTCTTGTAAGTATATTGTATTCCAGTTGATCAGTTTTTTCGTTCTGAACTGACATCTTTCATGAGATATTTATGCCCATTTAATTGCCTTTGACACATCTTTCACATTGTATGCTGCCTGTTCAAACTCAATGGAGTTCAAGCCAAACTTTCTACTGGTAATAGGGCTCTTTTGTTTTTGCCGTACAGCATTTATTATACATCTTTTTTGTGTGAGTATCTTGTATTTCATTTGGTTAATATAATTTTGTTTGATTTTTTCCAAGGTACGTAAATATACCCGACGAATGGGTACCCCCTGATCCAAAACCATACCAAGATCTGGTGAGTGTTTATTCTGCAAGTTTCTTTTTTTGTTTGTGTTGAGGGAACATCACTAAATTATATCCAGAATTGTAGATTTGTTTTATCGTGTGTAGAAGTATACTTGAGCAAATATAGCTCCCCGGTGAACAGCAGATGGGAAAAGAAGTGGACGACCTGGAAATATGGAGGAGGATAATAGAACGGGAAATGAAGGAATGTAAACTGCCATGGGCAAAAATCAGCAGACCTGCAGCAGTGTAGATCACTTGTGAATGCCTTATGTGTCAACAGCGACATGAATAGGAGAGAGAGAGAGATGTAGATATATGTATTAATTTGCTGAACGTATTCAGTAGTATGTTTTTTTTTTAACTTAGTGTTTTCGTTATCTTCTTTTTTTTTTTGAGACACCTGCATTACTCTCTTTGATTTTGATAATCTCAGTATTTAAAAGTTAAAAGCAAGTGTTTTTTATACAGCTAATAAAGACTGCAAAATGTTTGCTTTTATCTTGTCTTTCCATCGTTAAGCTTAAATTTGGTATTCATCTTTTCCCTTTAAGGCTACTGTCTTTTAACCTATGTTAATGAACACAGTTGAAACTATTGTGAACCAAATTTCTTCTGGATTTACAGGGCAACCTCCGCAGCTTCCTTCTGAACAAGGAATGCTATGATCAGTTTAGTGTCATCTACGGTGAAGGAGAAAAGACTGCCATCTTCATGAACAGTCCAGAACCATCGAAGGTTGAAGAAAGAGCAGTAAGTGAAACCATATGTCGTGAACCTGCCAGGTGTTAAACCAAATTAGTAAATGGTAGCAGCTTATTTAATTACATCTGAAATGTTTTATTTAAATTTTTTTTTTTTAAATCAGCCCTTAAAAATGTGGCTAATGCTTTGCACACAGGAAGAATAGCATTAGATACAGGCGGAGATGATGATAATTATTGTTTGTCAGCTGTAAATCTATTCTTCTTCATATGCTGTCTACTTCTGGTCCTGTTTCAAAACTCGAGTTTTGCATGCACATCTATTTTATACTTACACTTGTAGCTTATTGAATGCAGATGGAATGCCGATTTTAGAATTTATGTGTATGCTAGAAGGCACAATATAGTATATCAGAATGTATGTATATGTCAGAAAGTGAAGTTCGGTGCTTTAACTACTATTTTGCAGGTAATTGCAAACAATATATGACAGCTTCTTTTACCAGTATGTGATCTTCTAATTATCTCCATTGTTGCCGGTCTTCTGCTTTTCAGCCCATGCTATCCCTTGACATCTTGCATTCCTTCATTTTCCTATCTGTCCGTCCTTCTCCAGTTTACTTTAGTGGTCCATGTCCCCCTTTTCCATCTGCCACCCATTCATTAGCAGTCGTTGACAAAGTGTCATGAAGCCTTTTGCAAACCAGCCTAGGTGCAAGCCATCTCAAGCTTCTTTCTGTAGGCATGGAGCTTTTCAGTCTCTGTTACTGATTAAAAAAAATTTATTTTAAAATGTTTCTGAAGCATATCTGTTTTTTTAAGGATGAGGCTGTTATTTTTCTGTATCTTATTCCAGCGGTGGACAGAGACATACGTCAGATGGTCTCCTCAAGGAACTTATCTGGCCACATTTCACCAGAAAGGTATTGCTTTATGGGGTGGGCCAAAGTTCTCTCAGATCATGAGATTCAGTCACCCTGGAGTTCAACTTATTGACTTCTCGCCATGTGAAAAGTAAGTAGCTTTCTTTTCACTATTTTGTTTTCATTGTTACCGTAAATATAATGCTAATTATTGTGGTTTAATAGCTAGTGTTCCTACTAGCCAGTCTTGCGTTCCAGAGGTTTCTCTCACACACACCTCTTAAGACGGACGTGTCGATAACCAGGGTTAACCAAACATCTATAATGTCTCCATCTTAAACAAAAAAAAATAAAAGAAACATAAAATCCGAGGGACCAAAAATTAAGTTTATGTTAAAAAAAATTAGTGCAATTTGGGGTCTAATAATTATTACCACCCTTGCTGGGACCAAAATTGTGTTCCTGTTAAATGGGTGTTTTCAAATCCTGTAATCAAAGCTTGTGTCTGTAGGTACTTGGTGACGTTCAGCCCTATGCAAGACAGCCATGAAGATCCACAAGCCATAATTATCTGGGATATAAGATCGGGTGTCAAGAAAAGGGGCTTTCACTGTGAGAGCAGAAGCACCTGGCCAATTTTCAAGTGAGTAAAATTTATTTTTGTATTTATGTATGCAGATTGTAAAATAGTTTTGGGACCTTTTGAGATCTCCCAGGATCTGGCCTAAAGTGGACACCAGGTGATGTCCTGAGAAATAAAGGCAGCCTTAGTGTTGTTGTCCGCACCACCCACAGCAGGCAGATTGGTCTGGAGAAAAAAATTGTTCTTGATGTATCACATGAGCAGAAATGATCCCTTCATTTTTAAAAAAAAATTCTTGAAGAAAGGATTCTTTTAAACTATTTAATTTAGTGACAGTAAAGAAGGTATTTAAATCATCATAAACCAACAACGCTGATCTGAAATTGTAATGAGAGGTCCGTCACATCTGATAAAACAAAACCACTGTCCAGTTGTGTCATTTAGGTTTTTCTTTGTTCTTCTACCCTGACTCTTCAGTTACCTGTGTGGGTTTTGGGTTCTGAAGTGAAAACTGACCTTAAATATTAAATTCATTTGTATTAACATTGTGTTAATTTTGTTGAATGCTTACAGGTGGAACTACAATGGTGACTATTTTGCAAGGATAGGTGAAGATGCTATTAGTATATATGAAACTCCAGTAAGTATGGTTTAGCTTACTATATTTTTAAATTGTCCATTATATAACATTATAAGGAACCTCCCGTGTGCAGTTTAGTTTTGCTGGTTATATTTGTAATAATTCTCCACCTGTGTTCTGGGTCCCCATTTATGGGGGGAGGGGGAGGAGGTGAACCCACTTCTTCTTAATGCCATAAAATAATTAAAAAAAATACTGAAATAGCATAGTTAGGTCAAAAGGCAGCTAGCTGTAAACTTAACACTGTATGCCAAGCGCAGTTTTGTGTAACCACAGAAGAAATAACAAAATATATGAGGGAGAGAAAGGGAGAAGTGCTATCACCCCAGCAATTTTAGGCTGTTGTGGTTTTCCTAGGCAAGTTTACGTCCAGTAGTTTGCCATTGCTTTCTGTGTGGTCAGCTTCTCGATACCTCTGTCGAAACCAGCGCAAGGCCCGCAGCTAGCATCGGACCTGGCATCACAAAGCGTGTTTGTAGCGCCTAAGTCACAGGCGTCGACACTATATATATATTTTTAAAGGTGGAGTGAAAGTTCTTGTATTATTGATTTCATACGAGGACCTGTTTCACTGTTACTTGTATTCTTCTTTGCGCTCACCGCTGTAAACCCAGGTGGAAGGTTCTGGTTGTTTGTCTATTTCTGGACTTTAGTCTTGTTCCAGAACTTAAGTGTTGCTTGCACATCCATTTCACAGATGTGGCTTATTTGTGTGCAGACTGTTTCTTACCTTGCAGGCAGAGGCACTCTTGACCTCAGAGGAATCTACCAGTTTGTTGACTATTTCAACATGCTTATAGGACAGGCAGTGGGTCTGTTCTTGTTTCACCCACAATGGGGCCCTGGAACCCACACAGGGAGTTACTGGTATGATGCCGAAAGTTTTAGAGAGGAAGTCATTCAGAGTAGACTCGTGATTCAACACGATTGGTCCATCCGATAGATTGCTGAATCTGGAGTTACATGTTATTCGCAACATTCTGTCATTTATTTAACGACATAGGTGTTCTATCTAATGTATTTGCAATTTACATATTCCTTTGTTTATGATTTTTTTTTCTCACGAAGGTTATAATCGGACCGAAAGGGGCAAATATCCCAGTCTAGATGAAACCACAACAGCGTGCCAGCTGGGTCACTCTTTTAAGGGGGAATACAGAAGTAAACAATGTATTGAAAACATTTACTAGAGATCCAAGATAGCACAGTTATTAGGTACTTATATATCCACGAGGCAATTTTTTTTATATATATTTGACCTCTGCTTCCAGGTCAACACAGCTTCAAATGGGTACCAGGATTGACTGTCACCCACAAAGCAGAAACGGTTATTAGTCTATTAATAATTTGGTCTAGGATGGTGTTCATCATGATGACCAAGTGCTGATTGATCTGTAAAATATAAGTTTAGCTGTATATACGCAATACACCTGAAGGCTTTTCATAGTTACATTTTGTCATTCTTGTCTTTCCAGTCATTTGGTCTGATGGATAAAAAGAGCTTGAAAGTGCCAGCTGTCAGGTATTGTACTTTCTATTTTCATTGTTTTGACTGTTTTTGACTTAAGCTTGTGTACAAATACAAGTTCCAGAGGGTGGATATGTGGATAAATCTTGTACATGAGTGTCTTTGCAGTACTGTATGTTTAATCACAGTGGATGCATTATTCATATGTGCAGTGACATAGCAGGGGAAGTCACTTGCTCTTTTCTCATCTGGATGGGTCCCGGGGCTCAAGTTTTGTATGCAGACTCTCTGTTCCTTGGCATCGGGCACATGCACTGCAAGTTCGCAGAAAACTTGATTCTATCAACTGAGGCCAAACTCCCACTAGGAACCACAAAGAGGTGTCGATAGGTCTTGACCAGTTTGTTTCAGGTGTTGACCAGTTTGTATCCTTGTCCTGGTGTACCACCTGTTGTCAAGCACCTCTACATCCAGCTGGGGTTCTTCAAGCTGTTACTGCTTTGGTCATATATTGTTATATTACTGTTTATTATGTATGTGTTTTTAAACAGTTAAGGAACAATTAAAGTAGAAACTATATTAAACACATGGCTGTTTATTATTTGTGGTAATAAAGTTAATTGTTTATCCGTTACAGTCATTTTAATGGTTTTTCTATGCAATTGTGTGATCAGTAGTTTGCCATTGCTTTTGGAATTTTTTATGGTCCACACCGTTGTCGAAATCAACACAAAACAATCAACTGCCAAATCACGGATATTTTGGAATTACAAAGTGTGCTCCTAGTGCCTGAACTGCAGCTGGCGACTGGCAAATTGCCGAATACTCATTCACAGGGCTTTCACATGGTCGCCCACTGACATTTTAGCGATAGACAAGCAGTAAACATAAAGTCCTGTAGTTTATCTCTCAGATACAATGCATCTTCGTTAAGTTTACAAAATGCTGTATTTTCTTTCACAGGGACTTCACCTGGTCTCCCACTGATAACATTATAGCCTACTGGGTGCCCGAGCAGTCCAACACTCCTGCCCGTGTCACCTTGATAGAGATTCCTAGCAGAAATGAATTGTGTGTGCGTAACCTGTTCAATGTGGCAGATTGTAAGATGCACTGGCAGAAGAGCGGAGACTACTTGTGCGTCAAAGTCGATCGCTACAAGGCCAAGAAAATTGACGATAAGGATCAAGTCAAATACAGTGTAAGTATAGTGTTGATTTCTTAGTAATTAATGAACTTTGTTAGTCTTCCTCTCCTCCATGTTCATCGGCTGTAAACTAAAGCAAAAACTGGTTGTTCATTCACTTCTGGACTTCAAGTTTTATTCCATAACCTGTGTGTTGCATGCACATCCTTTTTTGCAGAGCTGACTTATGTATGCAGACTGTTGGTTCCTTGCAGATGCGCTCTGACTTCGAAAGGAAGCCCCTAATTAGTCGACTCCTACGGCATGCTTATTAGGAAGGCTTGGGTCTTGTGAATAAGTCCCACATTGTAGCCACTTGTCAGCTGCCGCTCTTGAAAGTACTTGTTAATATACTGCATGCACCTAAAAAGAATTGTGTGTGCGGCTTAATTGCCATTGAAGCTAGTGTAGACTGGTTTAACCTGCATGCATGCTGTAATATTGCTTGTATTGATTTCTGTGTTTTTTGTGTGCCTTTTAGGGTATCTACTACAATTTTGAGCTGTTCCGCATCCGAGAAAAGCAGATACCTGTAGACAAAGTAGAGGAGAAAGGTAGTTATGAGTTTAATTTGCATTTCTTGTTACGTGTCGATATATCTACTTTTACTTGTGTGAATGATCTGTTAGTGTCTGCTTTATTTGCTTTATGTTTCTCTTGTTGGGTTACATTAAATTCATTTGCCCCCTGAAGCAGAAGTGTAGCTCTTCATTCCCAGACAAAGCAAAAATAACTTTTTTTTTTACTTTTTAGAGTTGGGGGGGGGGGGGGTGGTACATTAATATAACAGTACATACTAGTTATTTTAATGACAGTGTATTTGTCATCCAGTGCTGGCTTATTTTTTTTGTTGGCTACCAGATCCATACCGTTAGACTGTTTCATTCCTTCTGTTAAGTCGTAAGTTAAATGAAACGTAGCTCACAACAAGCATACTGGTGGGGAAATTTGAAGGTAAACAAGGAGGAGGAGATATACAGTTGAAGGTAAACAAGGAGGAGGAGATATACAGTTGAAGGATACAAGGAGGAGGAGATATACAGTTGAAGGATACAAGGAGGAGGAGATATACAGTTGAAGGTAAACAAGGAGGAGGAGATATACAGTTGAAGGTAAACAAGGAGGAGGAGATATACAGTTGAAGGATACAAGGAGGAGGAGATATACAGTTGAAGGATACACAGAGGAGGAGAAATACAGTTGAAGGTAAACAAGGAGGAGGAGATATACAGTTGAAGGTAAACAAGGAGGAGGAGATATACAGTTGAAGGTAAACAAGGAGGAGGAGATATACAGTTGAAGGTAAACAAGGAGGAGGAGATATACAGTTGAAGGTAAACAAGGAGGAGGAGATATACAGTTGAAGGATACACGGAGGAGGAGATATACAGTTGAAGGTAAACAAGGAGGAGGAGATATACAGTTGAAGGTAAACAAGGAGGAGGAGATATACAGTTGAAGGATACAAGGAGGAGGAGATATACAGTTGAAGGATACACAGAGGAGGAGAAATACAGTTGAAGGTAAACAAGGAGGAGGAGATATACAGTTGAAGGTAAACAAGGAGGAGGAGATATACAGTTGAAGGTAAACAAGGAGGAGGAGATATACAGTTGAAGGTAAACAAGGAGGAGGAGATATACAGTTGAAGGTAAACAAGGAGGAGGAGATATACAGTTGAAGGATACAAGGAGGAGGAGATATACAGTTGAAGGATACACGGAGGAGGAGATATACAGTTGAAGGATACAAGGAGGAGGAAAACATGAAGAAATTGGCGAACTGCTGTCTTAGATAAATCACAACCAGCGCCAAAGATCTCCATTCAAGTTGTAATCTATTGCATCCAACCTTATCTTATGGTTGTGATGCCTGATTAATTCCCCATCATTGTCAAGTTTTCATTTTTGCCATTAGGCGATGTGGGAGGAAACGGTTTGCGATCCATAGCTTCATGGATAACAGTTTCTGTTGTCATTTTGTGTTGGTAAAGAAGCTATTTACTTTGAGGTCGTCAGTCCATATTCTCCTACAGTGACCTCTTGCTTTCACATCATAATATTTTTATATGTAGCTTATTTGTTATCAGTAGTTGGGGTGGCATTCTAACAATTCTGACTATTTGATATTGTTTCTCAAATTAATTTGGTTTATGTTGTTCTAAAATCTGTCTGATAGCGTCATTTCTCATCTTGTCTTAGGCGGCTTTCCTCAGGAATATAATTTCACAGGTGTTGGTTTTACAAAGGTCAACCTTTGATAATGCCCATGTTTGGCATGGGTAGAACAGTATTGATATGAATATGCTGTTTATTTTGTTTCTCATACTTATGGTGAAAGCTTATGTTGATAAATATCTTTTATTACAGAGCCGGTCCTAGCATTTGCCTGGGAACCTGTAGGCAACAAGTTTGCATACATCCACGGAGAAGCACCCAGAATCAGTGTCACCTTTTACAACATTCAGCCACGTGGCCGAGTTGAGCTGATTAGTAAGTGTGACATATGTGTGTGTGCCACTATTTTGTTGATTTTTACTCTTCCTTTTATTCCTTTGCCATCTCTTGTTACTCTTAAGTTATAACTTTATCTTCTGTTATATTGTGTGCATAAAAAAAATATTCTTAGTTCTCTGTGCATTGTGCAGGAAAATGTTCATAAGCTGAACATGACGATTTTTTAGATGAGCCTAGTACCAGAGCACCATATATTGGCTTTGCCCCTGCCTTTTCTTGGGGGGTGGGGGGGGGGCTGACCGGTAATTATGTGGCTGCGGGATGGGAGGCACCACCTGTAGACTAGGAACAAAAGATGACCACACAGAATGAGTTTCTGGCATGCCACAAAACTAACCACACTCAAGGCAGGCGAACGTGGGCGAAAGTTAGATGTGTGCAAAGCATGTATGTTTTTGAATGGGCGTAGCAGTATTGGTAGTAACATCATGTAAGAAATTTATTAATGCAGTGACCTGCATGGTGTTTACATGTTGGGATCCCTATCAAAGCCAATTTTTGTTTTTAAAATTAACTTGGTATCCTAGGCCTGCTGGGCCTAAAATAGGTACCATAAAATGGTCTGCAAAGTAAAGACAGCTAGAATAATACTGACCATATCACATACTTTTCTGAATCTTCTGTATTCATCCTTAAAAACACGGCTAACATAATGTGTTGTTTGAAGCAAAGCTGTGATATCTGCCATGCGACATGCCAGTTTAAGGATGGTAAGTCTTTATTTTTGCTTACTGGTTGGACTATAAACGTGCAGCGCTAACACCAGATTTCTCAAGACATGAAACAGGTCCTTTCATTTTAATGTTTTTGGTCTCCAGTTTGCATTAACAAAAAAAGTAAAATCGAGGGCATGGGTAGCATAGTGGCTGGACAGTGCCCTGCTGGCACAAAGATCTAGGGTTCATATCCACAGCCAGATTTTTTTCTTCAAAAATAACAATTGAAATGGCTTGATAGTGTTTTGGTCTATCACCGATTTGTGTATAAAGGGGTTTGTTACTTTACTTTATAAATAGTATTATCTTATTTAAATAAAGTAAATATACATTAGAGGCAATGGTTATTTGTTATTTTATGTTTTGGTCTTCAAAAAATATTAACTGCAGAGTTTCGAAATGTGAAAAATTATTTGATGATAACATTAGTGTTGATTGCTCTGACAGAAACCCTGGAGAAGCGATCTGCAAACCACCTCTTCTGGAGCCCAAATGGTCAATTCATTGTCTTGGCTGGTCTAAGAAGGTTTGTGTGAAATAAGTTTTAGATTTTTAACTCCAAATTTTGCCAGGGCAGTGCCATTAGGCTGGCTAATCTTGTTAATTTCTAAATGCGAGGGGATTTTTTTTTTAAATGTGCGCAACAATACATACGGGCGTGTGATCTTACTACCCAGAGACCAGGGGAATTACTTGCAGTCCGTGTGAAAAAAAATCCCAGCCTTCTCGGGGGCTTGAACCGGGACCTCTAGCACTCTAGGTGGACGCCATGCCTCAAAACCAGGCAGACTCCTTGTCTTGTCAGTGAAGTCTTCATGCATAAGCCCGCCTAACATTTGCCAGGGGCCCTCCATGAGCATAGAGACTCAATGCTAATCTGTGAAATATGTTTAAATTATCAGCTATTTACATTTCATTTATGAAGCTGGAAGGGACACACACACACAAAGTGAATTTTATCACAAGAACTCCTCTGGCTGGGAAAATTGGAGAGTGATTACAATTTTTTTTAAAAGGTAAATTTTGAAGCTGGGAGTATCAGCTTAAAGAATGTTTAAAATGTTCTCCCCATATTTGTGGGGTTTGTATGAGTTCCAGGGATGTATTGTGGAAGATTTATTGAGCTCTGAGCAAACTGGTTTGACAAACCATGTGAAAACTTCTCACAGTCTCTGCAATATTGCGTCTGTATACAGCACTGGATCTTGTCTACTGGTAATACTTCCTCAGACAGATATTCTTCCCTATAATGATGCCAAACTTAACATCCCTGCCTCTCTCCCCTCTTCAGTTGTCCTCATTTTCATGGTATACTTCAGTTTCCTCTTTTTATGTGCCCAAAAACTAATATAGGAAGGCAGGTGGCCAGCATGTCTTCGTCATATATTTTATGTCTAGAAATATAGGCATGGCACTATATGCCCTATGGGCCACTGGTGTATCCACTCTTCTTCTGATGAAGGTTATGAGTTATCTGTGAATACTTTTCTTCCAATAAATAAATGCCCCCCCCCCCCCCCCCCCCCCCCCCCCGTGTTCTCAGCCATCTTCTGTGTCATATGTCTGCAATTTCAATATTTTTTTTAAAAACCTTAATGTCCATGTTTCACTAGTATTTTTCTTGAAAAACTGCCTTTACTTAAGCTTCTGTTTCTATTATTAGTGTGTTTAAGCAGATCAAGTTTCAAATTAAGAGCATCATAGACATTTGAGCGACTAAAATTAAATAGCAAAATAAAAAGATAGAAAGGGAAATGCCATTAGGTGAAGTATCAGCATGATGTAATACAAGAGTATTAGTTGCCTGTTGGATGCTTAAATGTTATTCTTTTGTTTTCCCCTCCCCAGCATGAACGGTGTGTTAGAGTTTGTGGACACACAGGATATGACCATCATGACCCAGACAGAGCACTTCATGGCCACGGATGTTGAGTGGGACCCGACTGGCAGATATGTTGTCTCAGCTGTTAGTTGGTGGGGACACAAGGTATGCAGTGTGTGTCATTGCTATAGTTGTTGCTCCTCTCCGATCCTGTGTGAAGTCTGTAATGAATCAACAGTGGTCATCACTGCCTCGGGGACATCCCAATTTCTGCTCCATCTCCCTCTTAGTAGTCAGGGAAGAGTCAACATGCAAATAGTACCAGTTATAATCTAATTAAAAAATCTGCCTCTGTTTCATAAAAAGTCTGTAAAAAGCATTTATGGCAGCCATGTGGTCTCTCATAGCTGTGATCATTAGTTGTCTGTCATTCTGCAGATTGTAGTGCCAGGATCAATCATCATTTAGCCGTGGCTTAAATTTTAGAATTACGGATTGTGACAACAGTAATCATTTAAAGCCGCATTATCTAAATGGCCATAAAATCTTTTGACAGTACAAGAATTTATGCTTTTTATTAATTTTTAAGACTTTAGTTTATTTTTGTTGTGCTTTAAATTAAAAAAAAAGACATGGGATAAAAGTGTATTGTGAATTTATGTCGTGTCACAGATTGTTGAATGTACTAGCCAGTAGGAAATTGTAGCTGTCACAAGCTTAACAGAAGCGCTTGATGTGCACTATATAGTTACCAAAAAGCCTATAGAAAAATTGATCCTGAGAAGTAAATGTGGCCGGTGTGATGCTGACCACATCACCCACCAAGACCTATATGACCAATGCACCCAAAGGTGTGCAACAGGTTCCTTTTTTTTTTTTTAACTAAAGAAAAACAGCTGAAGTTCATGGGTGATGATAACTGACACCTCTACGGAATAGTAATGACCGAAGATTACACTCTGACATGAACTTAATAAATAATATGCCTTGTTATGGATATCAGACGCAGGACATCTTGCTCATGATAGGAAGGGTTTCCGGAGGGTTGTTATGGCAGCGAGGTTCCGCGAGGGACATGCTACTGAATGAATGAATGAATGTTATGGATTATAATAGTTGTAACATTCAAATTGTTCTAATTTTAATCTCTTACATTTTGGTAAAAAGAAAATATTTAATAAGAATAGTTTGTTTTAACATGAAGACAATCTTATTTTATATCTTGTTTTTTAATGTTTAGGTGGACAATGGCTACTGGCTGTGGAATTTTCAGGGCATACTTCAGCACAAGCAGCCCCTTGAGAAATTCTGTCAGTTGCAGTGGAGGCCACGCCCACCATCGCTGCTGAGTGAGAATAGGATTAAGGTAAACAAATATATATATGTGTATGTATGTTAACAGTCTGTTTCTTGATATTCTTCTACAGTACTGGAGCAGGTAATAAGTGTCTGTCTTGGACATGTGTCAGCGCCTGTGGTTTAGATGTTGCGAACGTACTTCGTAATGCCCAGTGCGATCCCAGCTACTAGCGATTAGTGATGCATTGGTTTCAACAGTGGTACCGAGAGCTGATCGTTCGAGATGCAGCGGCAAACTACTGAATGTAAAATTTCCCTAGAAAAACCACAATGGCTAAAAGTTGCCGGGGTTCGTTCTGCAACGTCCTATAAAGGATACACAACTAACTTGAATATGTCCTTAACGTGTGGGTAGCCTTGTCCCATTTGGGGGGGGGGGGGTGGATAGTAGGGTGTTTTTTAGGACTTTTCCCGTACCACATTGGTTACGTGGTGTTCAGTTAGATTGGGCGCATGGCATAAAATTACTAATTAGGAGTGTTTTCTTTTAAATTGGAGTGCATCTGCCTAAGAGATAAGGAACCAACAGTCTGCTTACATTTGAGCCAGATCTGTAAAACGGATGTGCACACAAAACTTAATTTCTATAAAAAGTCAAGAAGGGGAGGACACTAAGAACTGTCCACATTAAGCTTACAGTTGAAGAAGAAGAAAGAACATGTCTGTGGCTTGGATGTTGTGAGTGTGCTTTTTAATTCTTAAATATCTGGTGTTGTGTATGTAATAGACATGGGGGATACCAGAAAAAAACCTCACATGAGCTAAAGGCTTGCAAGAATTTGCTGCCTTCAGAGCGGACTCCCGGGGATGTGTTGCAGGATTGCTGGGCTTATTCCTGGCTGAGGCTGGAAATGTGGCCCAAGCTAGCTGCATTGCCAAGACATGCTTCTTTTCTTTGTAAAGGTTCTATCTTGCTCTTCTTTATGTTCGGTTTCGTATGCTTAGATCAGACCATCAGGTGGTTTGCCTCTGTGAACTTGCATGTCAGTAGCAGGTCCTTCCTGGTTTCCTATAGCTTGCTCTGCACACTTTGCTCTTGACGCCAGGTGTCTTTTCAAAGTTGTAGGTAGAGTGGGCCGGTCTGCAGATTGTGCTCAGGTGTTTGAGGTTCTGTTTGACAGACACACTGTAAGGACTACAATATTTATTTTATTATAGGTTTTATAGCCCTGGGAGAACAGAACTGACCCACTTATTCCACAACAAGCTGGTCACTAGGGGTGTTTCCTGTGAAGTCTTCTGAGAGACAAGGATTCTGCGTACAAGCAGATCATATCTGTAAAACTGAGCGCACAAAAATCAAGGTCTGAAACGATCAAAGTCTAGAGATAGACAAATAGCCAGATTTTTCCACCAGCTTGCAGTCAGTAAATATTAAAAAGCAGCAAGACAGACTATGGTTAGATGCACTATCCTATTTGCAGCTCAGGCAGAACCAACACATTCACTCTTTGACATTTCCTTAAATGTTCCAATCCCATCTTCAACAGCCCCACAAAATTCCATACTAATTAATGGTATAGTTTATTTTTATTTTTTTCAAATTGTCTTTCCATGTTATGTTTTGTTCTTCAATACCACTGCATTAACAGTTGAAGATGGTGTGAAGTCGTAGAGCAGTCAGCGTTGATTCTTATTAATTAAGCCAGCTCAGTTGATCAAGGGATAAATAGTGTCTAACCAAATGTGTTTTATTTCATTAGGAAATCAGAAAGAACTTGAAGACCTGGGCACAGAAGTTTGAGATGGAAGACAACATGAGGAAGATGACAGCATCCAAAGTAAGTCATGTCTGTGTGTGTTTTGGGCTGCTTCCCCAACATTATCTCAACTAAACAATCTTGAAGGAATTGTTGTTGAAATGGAAGTAATTGTGTGACTTCACTGTGTCCATTCTAGGGCACAAGATTTTGGAGGGGGCCTAAAGTGATAGCATTGTCAATAGACTGGTACTTTTACACGTAGATGTTTTAAGGGCTCTTTAGGAGTGAGTGAACAGTGCAGAGGCACAAGTAGTGCGAGTTACCAGAGGATCTGGCTCATGCCCAACACTTGGGGGGAAAGATGAGACAGATGTACAATCAGTTACTGGTGCCATCGGAATTGGAACTCTTGGATATGGGGACAGGGTACTAGAATAGAGCTGAACTGTATTATTTACTTGTATGTCCACAGGATTTGTTAGACAAGCGCCGGAAGCTTATGGAGGACTATAGAACCTATAGAGAGGAAAAAGAGAAGGAATTTGCCAAACTTAAGCCAGTCCGCCTGGAATTGCGCTCAGGTCTGTTTTTTTTTTTTTTTCTACCAACATAAGACAGGTGACGAGTTACCATTTATGCATAATTTAGGGATGATGTTATTGTTCAATTTTTTTCAAGTCAGTCAGGTGCTGTCTCTACAGTTAATTTTGGCTGTAGTGGATCTTCCACACTTAGGATGTTGTCCTCCCGCTTGTATCGCTTTATGTGTGTGTGTATATATATATATAATTTGCAGTCTTTGAACTTTCTCTCCACTGTGGTTTTTTTAAATTGTCCTCTCATTTGGCCAGAATGTTTCCATTCCCTCGTGTCCCCTTTCAGAATGGATTCTGTAAAACAGACATGCATGAAAACTCAAGTTCTGGAATAATGTCCAACAGTGGAAAAACAACCAGAACTTTCCCCTGGAGTTTACAACTAGACACAAAGAAGAGCTCTAGTCTTATGTTTTGAGATTTTAATGAGAGCAGGGCTGGTGGTGAGAAATGGCTCTACGTGTCTTATGTTTTGAGACCATAGAATTTTTTATCCGGTCTTGTTCCAGAGAAAGAGTTTTGTATGCACATCTGTTTTACACATGGGGTTTATTTGTATGCAGACTGATGGTTCCTCTTGTTGACTAATTGTGGGCTTCTTTTGAAGTCAGAGTGAATCTGCATGAGAGGCAAGGAAACAACAGTCTGCAGACAAATTAGCTAGATCTGTTAAACCGATGTGCACGAAGCACTTAGGTTCTGAAAAATACTAAACAACCAGAACTGTCTACGGGCGTTTACAGCCAGTGAACACGAAGAAGAATAGACTTACAGGCTTGTTAAAGGGAGCAGTTGTTTTATTATCTCCCAAAATGGAGCCGCGGAACTTCCACAGTAAACATGTAATGTCTGCTATTAGATTGATTTTCCTTTCTTTTTTTCATTGCCTCAGTAACAACTGTTTGTACCTATCCTCTGCTAGGTGTCGACACAGACGAGCTCCACAGTCAGGAGGATAACTACACTGAAGAAACTATTGAATTCTTGGTCAAAGTGGAAGAGAAGGTGGTCGAAGAGTAGTCAGCAGAGTTCCACGTCTGCTTGCAGTGTTGTCTGTGTACAGTTTGTACACAGATAGAACTGGTCCGACTGACCACTCACTGACCTGCCTGCTACCACCTGCCATTTGCCACATCCTTCCAGAGGGACGCACCTGCTGCACTTTTATTGAGAGTTTCAAGCGCCAATCAAACATTAAATACTGCGCCATAATTTTGGCTTCTTTTATCTCTTGGATCGGCATAAGCTGGTTCATTTATAATATACGTATATATTTTAAATATTGTGTGTGAAGGTACTTTGGCCAGGTTTTTTTTTTTTAAATTATTCGTTTTCAGTGAGTAAAACCTTACTCTCTTGCCTTTAAAGATTTTAATGCTTTTCTTGCATTATTTCAGTCTCTGTGTTTATATGTTGTATGTATATATACTAAGAGCCATGGTGTTTGATTGGAACCTTCAGAATGGATTGTTGAGCATAGATTACTATCATTTATTGATTCAAGCCAACCAGCGAAACAGCTATATCTCGTTGCCACTGTTTGTTTTAGTAGGGTATTTTTCAGGTCTGTTCCCTGTACCATACAGGTTATGTGGTACAGTTAAGTTAGAGTGGAGTTTAGGTCATTCATTACTTCATTTCACATATTCTAATAATAAAAGATATTTAGATCATGTTCTCTGAGTTTGAGTGTTTTTTTTCCCATGTTGCTTATTAGTCTTAAAAGATTCCAAAAGCAGGAAGGAAATGCCTTAAATCCTAGATCTAATGTCAAGGAAACTGAATTTTGGGGGGGGGGGGGGGCCATATCAAGCACTACTGAAAGGAAAAAACAGCAGAAGGTGTGGTGTTAGTCATTATGAAGATTGTCACAGGGTATGAAACCTAGGGTAAAAAGCTGCACGAGGAGAGAGAGCCGGCAAGACAACTTTTTACGTGAGAATTAAAAATTTTAGGTTTAGTCTTCTTTGTTTACTGGCTCTAAGCTCCGGCTGAAAGTCTCGGCTGTTCGTCGATTGGATTTTGGCTATGTGCCAGTGTCGAGTTTTGCATAAATATCTGTTTAACTAGCTTATTATCAGTGTGAATTTGTTCCTTGCCACTTGGGCTCTAAATAACTGCTTTTTTTGTGTGTGTTGGGGCATGGGTCTGTTCTTGTTTTCCCCAGTGGGGCCCCCGAACCCTTTTGAGTTTAGTATCGGTTTAATTTGTTTAAACTCCACAAATTTCTGAGTGCTTTGAAAGCTCCTTTTGCCTGTTATGTTCTTATTTTGATATCTGTCATTTTCCTACGTCTTTATCTACATTACTGCCCAAATAGGTGCATGACTCCATGTCTTGGATGGGATATCATTAAAATAAACCAGATAACTATTAGCCTGGTTTATTTTCATTACCTTTGCCTTTTGCCTTTATTTTTTTTTATACCAAGCTGTGATCTCACAAGTCAATTTAATGTATCTACATCTGATTTAATCTGTGTGAATAAAAACTTGACTGTAGTCCAAAGTCATCAAGCTGTTTTGCAAGGTTCCACAGAATTCTATTTCCCATGTTATCATTTGCTGTCTTCATAATCCAGTCTGTTACAAGTAGAAATAGGAGAGACGAAGCTATAGATTAGGGCTTCACAATTTGCAGGGGCCTAAACAAATCTAATTCATTACCCAACCTTTCTTTTGATGACATACTCAATGACTTTTATATGGATGTCAACAAATAGGAAGCAGAGAAGAGGCCAACGATGGATAGAGAGAATAACATAGTCCCTGGGAATCTCCATTTAGAAAGCACACATACACTGGCAGTTTCTGAACAATTTTACTTCACCTCAACCCAAGATACCAGAGGATCATATCCCACCAAAAAAAATTTTTGTTTAAATTTGGAAAATCAGTTGTACGTTTTTTTTTAGTCGTAACTTTAATCCTCTTAGAAAATTGTATCCTTTTTCTCTATGCGTTCACCGGATGTAACTCCGGGGTCTGGTTATTTGTCCACCTTTGGATTTTAGTTTTGGTCCAGAACCTGTATTGCATACACATCTGCTTTACAGATGACTTGTGTGCAGACTACTGGTTCCTTACCTCTCAGGGCAGATGCACTGAGACTTTGAAAGAAGCTACCAATTAGTCGACTCAGAACCAGCTTGCTGGGGAGGCAGTGGGTCTATTCTATTCTGTTGTTTTCCATACGAGTCCACGAAACCCACACAGGGAAAAGGACTGATTTTGCAAACATTTTTATTTCTAAAAAAAAAGTAAAGGACCCTTTTCCACGCCTTAGGCACAAGGGCTAAACCTATATTTTTATAGACCAATCGGCACAAGATGAGTGATGTGGTCAGCATCATGCCGGCCGCCTTTACTTCCCAGGATTGCACCTGGTACCCACCCAAGGTCTTTAAAAAATGAAAAAAGGCCGGCTCCGCAAGGGAGCAAACCCACGACTTTCCAGGTGAGCGTCTAGCCACTGCCACTCCCTCTTTAGTAACAGTGAAACAACAATGTGCTCCTATATCCATTATCCTTATACAGTAGAACCTCGCTTAACGAGCACCTCTCATAACGAGTTATTCGCATAACGAGCAAAATAAATTGTTCAAGAATGACTTGCTTAACGAGCGATGTTTCGCATAACGAGAGGGGAAGTCCTGGATTGTGCGCATGTTACATCCGTCTGTGTTTAGCACAGGTTCCAGTAGCATTGTAGTGTCGCTTGTTATCACACATTTTCTCAAACTTGTGTTGTATTATGATATATGTACATGAATCCTCCAGGCCTACAAGATGACCTCATTAAGAATTTAAGTTCATCAAGATGTAGTTTCCGTCTCAGAACACCGCTCCATTACTCCAGCTTATGGACCAGCAAGTTATTTCTAACTTTAAGAAGCTCTACACTAAAAGCACTCTTCGAGTATTGTTTTCAGGTGCCTGAAGGGTCCAACCTCACTCACTCTTAAAGAGTTGTGGAAAAACCACTTCCACATCGTTGCCTGCCTCAAGATGATTGACAAGGCGGGGGGAAGGGGTTACCAAGACTTCTTGACTCAACTTCTGCTTGGAAGGAGCTTTGGCCGGAGAGCGTTGTCGATTTTTGACTTTGAGGGGTTTGAGACAGTACCTGTGGAACATGTAGTCAACGAGATTGTGTCTTTGGCCACTATCATGGGATTGGAGGTGGATAACAGTAATATCGAAGAGCTTGTGAAAGAGCACAGCCAAGAGCTGACCACCCAAGAGCATATTGAGTTGCATTGTGTTTCACAGCAAGAAATTTTTGGGAAAGTTTGTCAGAGGAGTAGTAGGAAGTAACAGAAAAGCAACAATCTTCTGGCGAAATAAGAGAAACGCTGAAAGCATGGAAAACTGTTGCATCTCACATTGAGAAGCATCACCCTAATAAGGAAGTGGCTACGGGCGTTGCAAATTTATTTAATGATAATGCTGTGTAGCATTTTCGCAAAATTTTGAAGCGTCGGCAAAAAACAAATGTTTCTGGACATCTTTTTGAAAAAAATAATTAGCTATGTATCATAATTATTTAGATCTTTTTTCCCCTTGCAAATCGAATTCGCATTCCATGTGGGTTCGTTCCGCGTTTGAAGAAAAGATGTTTCACTCTCCTTAAGTTCATAATTTTGTTTTAATAAACGTTATACATAGCATTTTGTATTTTTTTCGACATGGAACGCATTATCGTATTTTACATTAATTTGAATGAGAAAAATTGTTTCGCATAACGAGTATGATTCTGGAACGAATTATGCTCGTTAAGCGAGGTTCCACTGTATTTATAAGGCGTATCGGGATGTGGAGGGCTCGGGCATACCTCAAAGTATGTGCTGATGAGAAACACCCACTGCATCAAGCGCTTTTTAGTGAAAAGGGCGACAGACTGAGGAGGGGAAAATCGTGGCTAGGTCGGGCAGAAGATGTTATTAGGCAAATATGCAGCCTAACCGACATCATACCTGGTGCAGAATGGATCTCTGTGCCTCAGGCGTTTATTTGTACATTTTCCTGTATTGTCACACTCAACAGGCGATGTAGAGAAGAGAATCCTGTTGCTGTTAATGCAGAGGTCAACGCTCTCATCGGTGAAAATTCAGACGAAGCAGATGCACTAATCTATACAGACGGATCCGTTATACGCCAAAGAAGTAGCGCATGGGCATTTACAGCACGCTCAGCGGGCAGAACAGTCAAAGAAGCCAACGGCGCCTTCTCCATGACAACCAGCAGCATGACGATGGAGGTGATGGCAGTGACGCAAGCGTTTGCCTGGCTTGAAACACAAAAATACACCCGCATATGTATACTCAGTGATTCAATGAGTATGATCCGGAGGGTTCAGTGCGAAGACAATGGCTTGAATCAATTCAGAAGTCCACTGTGCGAGGAGTCACCTTTATTTTTGTTCCGGGACACGCAGGCGTCGATGGAAATGAAAGAGCTGACAGGTTGGCTGGATCCGCTATCACTACCGACGGTTGGCCTATGGATCATGCTGATATTATCAATGCCCTCAGAGAAATGGGAATGATAGAGGACTTTGATGGCAGTGAATCCACATCACTCGCCAGAATGGCAGACTTAGGAATTAAGATCGGCACAGCAAAAAACGAGACGCACACCGGACACGTCAGAAGACTTGTTAATCAACATAGAACTGGTACTATTAGCCATCGGACGTTGGGGTTCATACTGAGGAGAGGATCTGAGCACCTATGGACATGTCCGGAGTGCAATGATGATAACCCAACTAACTAACTAACTAACTAACTAATTATAAGGCGTAATTATTTTACGGCTGTATGAGATTAGCCTCTGGGAACAAGCAACGGAATCGGTAACAAGATTAATATGGCCTGGAGAGAATGAGGCACCTGGGTGTAACCAGAGGGTCTGGCAGGCTCACTACACTCAGAGGAAAGGCAAGACGGACATAAAACCAGACTGTGACCGGTACCGTCAGTATTGGAACTCTGTGCTGGCTGCTGAAGATGGGGATGCCCC